AGCCTTGTATTGTTGCCCATTAATCTTCTTCCATGTAGAACTTTTTCAATTGTTGTTGTCAAATTCTTGATTCTTGATTTTTCTTCTTGCTGTTGTTGGAGTCCAGTTGCATGGTGTCACGGTCGCCATGTAGAATTCATCAAACACAGTGTGAAACCATGCTGACTGGATCTAAGAGGGGGTATGCTAAGAGTGCATATCATATTATATTACGATTATATTCTTCAAAATTCAACGATATTATTTCCCAAAGCGTAAAAAATCAAATTCATGGGTGCCGCACATCATCAGTACCCCACTTCTTACCAACAGAACACTCAAGTTTCGTCGCAGCTGTTAAGTACGCGCCTATGGCCACGACTCCGGTGATGACGAGAAATTCGGCATCCGAATTTACTGGTCATGAGGGTATGAAATCGACGGATAGTCCGTCCCCTTTAAGGTCATTGGCCCCTATAGCCAATTCGCATTAACAACAACCCGCCCGATACACTGCATGGGAATTCCGTGGCCGGACCACTGGCTTGCACCGGCAGCGCAGGAATAGACCTGCTACGTCTGAATCAGATGTATTGGCTTATATACAAGCCAGATCGAAAGCCGACATAAAGATAGATGATATTACTAAATTTAAATATAAATATAACAGAAAAATATCGTCATTTAAGATACAAGTCCCCTCGGACAAAATGTGTTCAACCAAGTTCTGGCTGGATCACATTTTCCTCCAAGAACATCGACCGGGGAATATAAAAAAGAAAATTAGCCGACCTGTGGCGATAAAATTCTCACAGGTTAAACACACTGAGCAACTCCCTGCAAAAAAAATAACATCGTCTCTTTTTCTTTTCTATCAGAAAACGAGGGAATTGCGTACTATGCTTCCTACTTTGTTTTCTGAGTCTTTCTTTTGCATTCCAAATTATTGTTTTTACCGAAACATGGCTAGTTTCGAAAATTCTTAACTCCGCAATTTTTACGAGCCGATTTAAACATACAAGCTTGAAAGATATCTTGGATCCGGGGGTGGAATTTTTTTATTTCTGTAGACTCTTCACTTGTATCTGGGGAGATTCATTTTCAATTCAATGATACCGAATTTAATTATTTCGGATCGAATTGGTATTACATCCCTCCTATCTCTGAGACATCTACGTATGAAGTGTACGGTAGTGCGTGAGTAGGAAGCGAACAATATACAGTGGGCCCTGTACTTTTTTGACTCCACAGGTTGGCGGCATTATCTTCGGAAGGGCTTTCGTCGGTGGATTCCCCATAGAGTGTACATGCGGTTTATGTTTAAGGTTGAAGCACATTTTAGTTGATTAATATTAGGAATAAATTAAAAGGTTAATTAATTCAACTGCCAGTATAACTCGTCCCACTGTCCCGCCCCTAACGGCGATGCATTAGAGTTGGTTCAAGCATTGTTTCAAGTTAATTTTGTTCTTTCCTTAATTTCGATGACTAAGGAGCGTACAGCAAAAGCTGTCTTGCCAAATGTAATTGTATTTTTATATATATAAATATATCAATATATACTTTTTTGAATCTGCTGAATATTGCCTCACCTAGAATGACTTTCCTGTTAGGGCTTTTTCTTTATCAGCAAAGGGGCCTTTCGAAAATCATGACACCACTCGGTTCCGAATAGCCAAGGCAGGGAGGGCGATCTTTATTCCTCGGAACATCTGAGGATCTGAGTGAAATATGACCGTTTGTCTGAGTCTAGTGAGGGTCACTCCCCAAATTTTTTGGCGAAGCACGCAATTCGTTTTTAAAGGAATGGCTGAAGGCCAAATGTACGAGGCCAAGACCACCACCCCAAGAGCCGACGAGGTGCAGCTGGATATTTTCGCGTGCACTCCCCTCACATCTCTGCAACACCCAGGCCGAACAACGTAAATTATTACAGGATTAAGTAAGAGTTTTTGAGTTTTTGTAAACAATATATTATTATTATATATTAACTTTATAACCAAAAAATTACGTAGTTAATGTATCCGCATTCTGTCAAACACCATAATTTTACCGTATAAAGTTTTAATTTCCACGGTTTCTACTAATACCGTATGCTGGAGGCTCACCTCATTGGAAGCTAGTCTGTAAACTAGACAAATCATCTGAAAAACCTTCCTTAAGTCGTGTCCATTTTATAAGCGTTTCTGGTGATCGATACAGAAAAATAAGCTTCCCATATAAGTCCTCTTCAAGACGGTACTCCTGAGTTTCACGAACCAAATATATATCGTTGCATAATTTTAATACTCGATCGACATATGGTAAATCCTCAAACATAATACGTCTGTGATTGTTGGCAATAATGGATCGAATAACCCTGGAAACCACATATACAAATGTTGTATATAGTCCAATAATCCTTATAAATATTTAATTTAATTAAAACGAAAAAAAGAAATATGAAGATATACATACCCAGTTTTCTCTAAAAAACTCATAGCAGACGGAAAAGATTTATCATTAAATATGTAAAGGACAACTCCATTTTCACAGTTACTTAATGGTAATGCAGACAGAATATCCGTATAAAATCTATCATCGCAATAATCATTCATTTCCCACCATTCCTTATTATCAAATTTTTTTTTTTCAGTATCATTGGACGAGTAAATTTCCCTATAAAAGGAAATATTAATAAGATATGATGATTGGATATTTTAAGACTTAAAAGCTTTTGTATGAGCTATATATAAAGAAATTCGTATAATACCAAGATTGCTCCCTTTGGCCCCGAATAAAAAAAGGAAGGTTATTGTTTTTCTGACAATCCCACAACGCAACAAGCCCCCGCTGCGTCAATTACATTTCAAGCCGGAATTTGAGGGAGTACACAAGGAAGTAAAAAGGTTACAAATTAAAGTCTTTTATCCACAATTACTCACATACTTACACTTCACTTTTTTTGGGTAAGTCCATCTTGAACCGAGATACCCAACCTGTTTGAATGTATAACCAAATCGTAATTTTTCGTTTGTTGTTGCCAGGCACAACCATGGACCATATATAGTTTTTCAAGTCAGCAAGCTTCAATGACCTTCAGAGCTGCGCATACCCAGTTTTTCTAAACTTTTATGTATCAAATGTGTAACGTTGAACGTTACAAGTATAGCTCAGTACTGAACCAAGATCTGGCATAGAGTTATTATTAAGCAAGAAATTAAATGTACATGCGACTGCATACGAGAAGTAAGGAAAAGCCATTTCTAGTGCAGATTTAAAATTCATTAATCTGTCACATAAGTGTTATCTCAGCTCGATTAAAAAGTCATTTTACAAGGATGCACGCTATGCGTGTGTATGCGACTCGGAATATAATTCCCATCCCTTATTCCCAAAAAGAAAAAAATAATATTTTTTATTTCACATAAAACTTTTATTCATTTATGATTAATATAATAAAATTGTTTTTCTAACTCTGATCTTTCGAATGTAAAGTGTTCAGTATATTTCATTGTTTCTTTCTTGTTCAACTTGATTGAGGAACATAATAATTAATTTATGCCACCTGTTTCTAGATATGTTTTACAACTAATAATTATACAAAAAATTGCAGAGCTGCGACTCCGTGTTGACAACGATAGAGAACGATGGGGCGAGCCGAGCAATCGGCGACTCGCGAGCGCTTATCTCGGCTTGTCTCATAGATAAAAGAGATAATTCAGCATACAGTGATGCTGAACAAATTGTAAGCCATAATTCTGGTATTAGCTAGATTACTGCTCCCGACAAACTCCCCCCGTTGGAAGAGCCATACTTCCAAGCGAAGTGGTTTCGAAGGGTAGGACAGCTAATTTCCGTGCGGATCACCGCAACTCGATCGACGCCGTCATTTCCGGAGACAGTGGTCTCCACCCTGCCGAGGCGCCACCGCAAAGGGGGGTAAGTTGTCCTCCTTGATGGGGACGATGCTGCCTAGCTTAGCATGGCCATGTCCGATTCTTCCACTTGAAAGCTGGCCAGAAGAGCGGGTTCTCGACGAAGGTAAAGATGAAAATGACGACGACGATTATAATGAGGATATATTGGGGCCGCCGCCTATTCCAGTACTTCTGGTTCCACCTGCCACCGCCAGCACTGCCAACGAGGAGGAGGAAGTGGATGTACAGCCAAATCCAGCAGGCAATACGAAGTCCATGTTATTCATTAAAACAAGGCGAGGAAATTTTAAGCAATCAGCTGTTGTGATCTGTGACATGTGCTCCAACCAAGACGAGTGCAAAGATTGCGGTAGGGATTCATCCCAGTCAAGCTTATCCTTCCATAGGAGCTGCTTAAAAATCTTTAGCTTGGGGGATGATCAGGGCTATTAATCCAAGTGGATATTGCCGAAAGAATGCTGCGCTTGGTTGCAGTCTGGGTACAGGGTCCGACAGGGTATCTCAACCAAATGTAACCTCGAGTGCCTTAAAACGTACGTGGGAAGGTTGCGGTTGAAATAGTTTCTCGCCTAGAGCATCCTCCTTCGAAATGGTTGTTATAGTATCTGGGACACTTATCTTTAATTTGTCAGAAATTGACTCAGGCTCAGACTGAGTGCTGAAGCTGAGCGCGTATAGGCCAAGTCTGGTTTTCTGCAGGGTGGGTAAATGGTTTCCTAATCGAAATTGTCCAATACAAAGCAGCTCGAAGAATTTACTTGCTCCAATAATCAAGTCAATTCGCTGACTTTTGTAGAAGAGAGGGTCGGCGGGCTCGGGATTTCCACAGTATTTTCCACTCAGATGGGTTAAGGTCGAACTGTGGGTGATAATCGGTGATTGACCGGGTAATGGCAGCTTCAAGCGACATGCATACATACTTGGCATTAGCAGATTGTGAGAAAATGTTATCCGACTCATCCAATGCTAGCGAGGACTCGCTTATCCCTGATATGGAGATGATTGAGCGATGGATTTGGAGTTGCAGTTGATTTGGAAACGAGAGGTGACGAAGTTGATTTGAGAGGCCGAGTCGAGTAAGGCCCGGCAAGGCACGAATACGCCAGAGCGGTTTTTTAAATAAACTATTGTGGTGGCAAGCAACACGTAATCGGCATTATTTGGCGATGAAGCTACAGATGGTGGTTTGGGCAAGGCTATAGAAACTAAAGATGAACTATGTGGCGGCTTTTTAGGACCAGGCTGCGGAAGGGTTGGAATGAGATTCGATTGGATATGCAAAAGAGTATGATGCTTCTGGTGGCAGTTCCTACAGCTGGCAGATCTGCATTGCCGTAAGCTGCGTCCCTTCCGTAGGCAATTCAAGCAAAGGTGCATCTTTTTTTCGTTGTAGCGCTGAGTTGGAGTCAATCCTAGAAGCGTAGTATGCACATATTATCGTATCGAATACACACTGTACATATGTCAACATTGTGCTTACTTGGCGACCATGACAGTCTTGTCATGCTTTATATTCGACAATAGTTAAAGGTCTTGGTCCATCCTTCGGCTTCGCCTCCAGTGCCTCTTGAAGTGAGGATTTGTCGTTTCGTGGTACGGGTGTACCATCCATACCTTTCCAACGGCGTACAGCCAGCGGATATTGCTTGCCGTACTAGTACTCCTCTTTTGAATCCCAGATCGTTGGCATAGTGGGCGGTCCTGCCTACCATGCGTTGTAAATGGTTCTTCTTGTTCCTTTTATTATTATTAATTTTCTATTGATTTTATTTCATTCTTATGGTTCTTTATGGATCACATTAATATTCGGTTTTTTTTCTGGATATAATTTTTGATTTAGAAATAATTTTGTAATGATTCTTTATTTTTAAATGTTTCGTGTATGAAGTGTTTTTAATTTTGCACTTTTTCGCACTTTCACTTGTCCTGTCACGGTCGCCATGTAATATTGTGAGAAATCATAATACGTTGTCGTTGTGAGTGGTATTTCAGACTAAACTTTTATTCGCAATAATTTCTTCTTAAATGCTAAAAGCTGAAGTGAGCAGTGATAGGAGTATATGCATGCATTGGCATGTTTGTCTTATGTTTATATATACCACGAGACGGCTGGTGTTAGCTGGTGTAAGAGCCAGTCGTCTCCGTGGGAATGCATGATCAGCATTTTAGGTCCGGCTCGTTGGCTGGACTCTTGAGAAGGAATGTGTTAGTTTGTATGGGCATATACAATGTATGTATTCATGTAATTAAAATATAATTAAAATTATATACTCCGCTCGCAACAATATCTATGGCTTGCAATTGCCTTCGTATGTTTATTTTTCTTATAAAATATATGGCCAATATTTTTTTATGACAACAGTTACCATTAACGAAGTATGACCAGTACCATGATAAAATCTAATTCATGTAACTTTAGTTTATGCAGTTTTTAATATTTGCTGTGTGGTTAACTAAAGGTGTGCCTAACGGATTCCAAATAACTTCAGGTGTCTTGCTCATCTCTCCTATGTGTGACAACGCCAGTGTCCCTTGATCTTCTAACTGAATACTGTCATGAGCTACCAAGATATCATTATCTTTTCGAGCAGTACAATCAGATCTAATTTATAAAATCCCTAGTTCCGGTAAATCAATTATCTCTAACTTCGAGTTGCTGCATTGAAGTCGAGCCTTTGTATTAACCTAAATTCCTTACCTTTATTCTTACTTACTAAATTCCAAGAAGAAACTACGATTTCCACATCGCCCATTGGGTCAAGATAAATTGCTGACGTTTTCAAAAAAAATATAGTCAAACGGAACACGACGTTTTTTCACTCGAATAATTACTTGGCGACCATAACAGTCCTGTCGTGGTCGCCAGACAATATGACATTACATTATTACATGGCGACCGTGACAGGACCAGTGAAAGTGCAAAAATAAAAACACTACTATCAAACTTGACAATTTTCAATGTAATCCAAAAACAAAAAAAAAAAAAAAAAGATTTAATGTAATACTCCTTTAAACAAAACTGACATTCCTATTAGTGCTTTCGACAGAGTGATAGTTGACACTATTGGTCCACTACCGAAATCTGAGAATGGTAATGAATATGCAGTGATCTAGCAAAATATTTAGTTTTCAATTGCAAATAAATTTACAAAAACTGCCTCAAAAGCTATATTTGAAGATTGTATTCTAAGTGCATCCAATGAAGACGTTCATTACGGACACTAGAAGACTCTAAGCAAATACAACAAAAAAAATATAGACACACACAGCTACATATTATATAACATATTATCAGCAGACCGTAAATAAAACAGAAGCAATACGCAAAAAAAAAATAACATTAGTAAAAACAAACAGTAGATAAAGTTTCGTTAGTTTTAATTTTATGAACAATTTCTACAAAAATTTTATATAATAATTCATAAAGCCCATTTCTAATATAAATACGTATGGCTATGCTTGGAATTAATACGGCAAATAAGATATAATTTATATAAAAAACACAAAAAAGAAAATTCGGTATCAATATAAATTTTTGGATTCTAATAATAATATTTACATTTAAAAATATGTTAAAAACAAAAAAAAAAAACAGGAAAAATGTTTACTATCATATTATAAATTTAAATACATATTATATAATATTGAAAATAACTACATAATATTACGTTATTTTTCAAAAGGAGGGAGATGTAGTATGCAAATTAAATTTATCACTCGTGAATTTGTTAAAAAAATTTATTTTAATTTTTTATATTCACTATTACAAAATTATTTTGGTTCGTAACTTATTTTTCACTGCTCACAACTTTATATTTTGTTCTGTCTTACTCGGTTGCAAAATCGGACTGCCCTGCTTTGGGTCAATGATCAATAATCAAACCTCTGCTTAAGAGATTTATCACAAAAATCTGATTAAGAGAGTCATCGAAGAGAGTCGGAAAAAGATAATGAAATTTGTCTATTAAATTTTAAATTGAAATTTTACAGAAGTGAAGTTCTACCGGAAATTAATGTTTACTTTAGCGGACTTGGGGCTCTGATGTTTACAATATCGGCTTGGATGTTTACAGAATCCGTTTGAAGCGAATCGCTCGAAACTGTTCTGGGTGGGAATCGATTGGAATTTTTGTTTACAGAAATAGCTGAACACGGGTTAATCTCGGAGTCAGTCAAAGTTAATTGGAAAGAGCTCTTGGCTCAAAGTTATTTATAAATTGGGCGAGGGCCCCTAAATAATGTGTCTCATAACTCCCCCCATACTAAATTGAATCGTCCCGATTCATTGGAACTGATGGGTATAATGAATGTAATTGATTAGTCAACTCGACAATGATATTTTCTTCTACGGTATTTTCCTTGTCGGGGATATTAGTTTCTGGTTGTATTTCAATATTAATTTGCCGTGGTTTGAATAATAAGAATTTTCTGTTTTTAATTAAAAGCATGGTAATTAAATATATAAATGCGATTATGGTCAATATTAATGTAATTGGTATTTGAGTTTGTTTAATTTGAATAAAATGATTTAATACGTAATCATTTGATATAATATATTCGGATATTAAGAAGTCAGTATATTTTCGTGCAGTGATATATTCCAATATCTTATTGTCTACAATAGTGTAGTATTTATTATTAATTTTAGTGGTACTATTAAAGATTATTAAATGTGGCCCATCTTAATGAGTGTCATTAACAGTATTATCTCCGTTTACAAAAATGGCTCCTTCTTGGATTACATCTATATTATTATTTTTTTCTCTTATTTTATTACATAAGGATTTTTCTCCATTGAGTCATCTGGTAATACATGAACCTTCTGGGTTTAATGTGCAATAGTTGTTAAATAATTCCGTCTTAAAATTAGACATTACATAAAACTTATTTTTACATTTTGCGACATGATTATTGATTAACAATTTTCCATCACTATGTGAAATGGATCTTGACTTATTAATTTCACAACGATCGATAATTATGGGGTATTTAATATATATAAAATTAAGATTTTGATACAAAGCGATTTTATATTCAGATATATCCAATAGATCAGTAATAATTACAGGTTTTTTGTAATGTTTATAAATTTCCTGTATGTCATCATTGTTTAAATTTTAGTGTTAAATACATCAATTTTAGCAAGTGTAATTGTATCCATTAAGTTCATAAGATCGTAAGTAAGCAAATGGAGGCGATATTTTCTCAGTGGAATCTCTTGATCTTTAAAAGTTTCAGATAGTTTTAATTTCTTTAAATATTTTAGAATTAATACCGAATTGGTCATTATTATTTTTTATTAAATCATCCATTTTATTGAACTGTTATGAAATCATCGGGATCTGGTGTTCCTGCTATCCATTTCCAAATTGTGCCTAATTCATTATTACCTCTTTTTGATCTAGTGGGAACTTTTTGAGAAATAAGTATTTTAATAAGTTTTAAGTCGTGTGATATTTTACAATTCTGATTGTTATGTCTGTTTAAAAATTCTGTTTCAAGATTAATTATATCTTTATAAAAACTTAATTTAGTTATATGAAATAAATCTGCGTATGATTCATAAATAAGGACTTATTTGGTATCCTTGTAAAGAAAAAAATCATGGTTTGTGTAATCCATAATTTCGGATTTGGTTGTAGCTACTAGCAATAATAAGTACATTTTTGAATTCATTATCTGGAATTTAAAAATAAATCAATTTGTTTAAAATTTAATATTATCTTTATGAATCGTACGGTTTCTGTTATTAATAATAACTTTATTAGGGTGATTTTCCTTAACTACCTGTTTTTTATATCTAGAGTTTCTTTTCGTAAATTACTTCTCCTACATGATAGTCCTTTATTTTTCTGTCTTTGTTATGTTCCTCTAACATTTTCTCTTGTGTAGTTTTTAACAGTATAGGAATAGTATCGTGCTCGATTTTATTGCAAAGTTTGTCAAAGGGTTTTTGATTGGTTGTTGTATCAATGGTTTTATTATATTCTTGCGCGGCTCGTATTACGATTTCGGTATAGTCTGTTAAATTAAATTGTTCTTTGATGCAGCGGGCTAATTCTGTTAATGTCGAATGTGCCCTTTTAACTTGACCGTTTGAGGTACTGTGCCTCGGGTCTGCGTAATGTTAAGTTAAACCACTTCTTTGTGCGAAAGATTTAAATTGAGCAGAAGTAAGCCTCGGTTCGTTATCGGTCATTATTATTTTGGCTTGAGGAAACTTTTTAAGTAGTGTCATTACTTTATTTTCAATATTTAATTTATTTTGGATTTCTTTAACTACTAGAAATTTGGAATAGGCGTCAATACAAGTTATAAAAATGAGACCTTGCGCATAATATATATCAATATGTAAATTTTCGCCCTCTTTAGATGGAATTGGGGCTTTACCAATCGGAATTTTGATTCGGTGTCTGTTATATTTGTTTTCATTGCAAATACTACGGTTTTTAATATATTCTTTTAATTTTAAATATAACTTGGGCCAGTAATACAATCTACAGATTTGATTATAGTTTTCATACAGTCCTCTGTGAGCTCTACTGTGTGTTTCTTCTATTATGATAGCCTTGTGTTCGTTGTTTTCTACATCTTGAAGGAATGTCCTTGTGTAAAGGAATTTATTAACGAAGTTTTCTTTTAAAGGTTTTAAAGGTTTTTGAATTATATAAAAATCTTCAAGTGTACACTGTATTCCAATTGTTATACTAGGTGGAATGTATTCCCTTAAGACAGTTACTAAATTTACCGGAGTGTTATACTCTATTATATGTCTAGTACTCTATATCTATATCTATACTCTATTATATGTCCGAATACATTAATCGACTCATGTATTGTATACCTCCCCGTTGCTATTAGCAATTGTTGCTTAAACTGGTTTAGGGGTTTTCGGGTTTCTTCTATTACATTCTCAAAACTACTCTCTGCTGAATGCTCAGTGTTTTGATCTGAGACCGATTCGATACTTTCTGTTAAGTTATTAATTTGTATCCTAGATAATGCATCTGCAACAACATTTGTTGCTCCGCTTATAAATAATTTTTGGAGAATAACTCTCAATAAGAGAATACCATCTTTTCATTTCTATATTTGGGTTCTTTTGAGAAATTGAAAATGAAACAGGTTGATGATCTGTGTAGATCTCAATGTTGTTAACTCCATATAAATAATTACGTAAATTTTTGAAAGCCCATACTATAGCTAACAGTTCATTCTTATTAGTAGCATATAATTGTTCAGTTTTTGACAGGGCTTTAGAAATAAAAGTAATAGATTTTCCTTCCTGGGAAAGAACAGCACCAATAGCTTAATGTGAAGCATCGGTGGTTAAAGTAAATTTCTTATTATAATCGGGTTGAACTAACTCTATCTGTGCAATTTAATTATTTTTGAGCTAGTTGAAAGCTCTTACAGCTAATACATCCAACTGTATGAAAGTTTTACGGGATACCTTTTTTGAATCCTTGCCATTATGGCCTTCTAAATATTTTGTTAAAGGTTTTGCAATCTAAGCGTAATTTTGCACAAATTTTCTGTAATATCCTGTAAGGCCTAGGAAGCTTCTGAGTTCGCGGATATTTTTAGGGATTGGATATTTTGAAATTGTAGAAATTTTTTCGGGATCGGTTTTGATCACATTGTGAGAAACAACGTAACCGAGAAAGTTTGTTTCCAATTTCAAGAACTTTGGTTTTCCAATCGAATTTTTTTATGTTTGCGTTCAGCAAAATTGTTATTATAACAATTAAATCTTTGTAATGTTGTTCAATTGAAAAAATTGAAAAAAGAAAATTCGGTATCAATATAAATTTTTGGATTCTAATAATAATATTTACATTTAAAAATATGTTAAAAACAAAAAAAAAAAAACAGGAAAAATGTTTACTATCATATTATAAATTTAAATGCATATTATATAATATTGAGAATGACTACATAATATTACGTTATTTTTCAAAAGGAGGGAGATGTAGTATGCAAATTAAATTTATCACTCGTGAATTTGTTAAAAAAAATTATTTTAATTTTTTATATTCACTTATTCACTATTACAAAATTATTTTGGTTCGTAACTTATTTTTCACTGCTCACAACTTTATCTTTTGTTCTGTCTTACTCGGTTGCAAAATCGGACTGCCCTGCTTTGGGTCAATGATCAATAATCAAACCTCTGCTTAAGAGATTTATCACAAAAATCTGATTAAGAGAGTCATCGAAGAGAGTCGGAAAAAGATAATGAAATTTGTCTATTAAATTTTAAATTGAAATTTTACAGAAGTGAAGTTCTACCGGAAATTAATGTTTACTTTAGCGGACTTGGGGCTCTGATGTTTACAATATCGGCTTGGATGTTTACAGAATCCGTTTGAAGCGAATCGCTCGAAACTGTTCTGGGTGGGAATCGATTGGAATTTTTGTTTACAGAAATAGCTGAACACGGGTTAATCTCGGAGTCAGTCAAAGTTAATTGGAAAGAGCTCTTGGCTCAAAGTTATTTATAAATTGGGCGAGGGCCCCTAA